ACTCTAATATTATTTATCGTCTAAGACTGTTGCTGGTAAGGGTGGATTCTAATCAGAGTTTGGGGCAATTTGTATCGTCAGTTTCTAGATGAAATTCTTCTCGTTCTGATTGTTGATGCGTTGCTGCGTTTTGTTGGTTGTTTCAGAGTTAAGACGCTTGATGATCGTTAGTCTCAGATCTTCTGGATCCTCGTTGCGTACTGTGCTTAATTGTCTTATTTTTTGAATGATCCGGTTTGGTCATGTTTTGTTAAATGACTGTTTTGTAAAGTCCATAAATGATACTTTGCATAGGAGTATATTGCTAGAAAATGCTTCAAGGCTTGATTCTACGATAGTGTGGCTGTGCACAGATTTATTCTCCAGCTCTCATTTGTTGCTTGATTTCTGTTGGCTTGTCAGTTATTTTTGCGTCTCATTGTTCACTAATGACTTGGAAAGTTCTTATCTCTTTTCATTCACGGGTTCATTTTTGATGTTTGACCAGTGATCTGGATCTCTGTACTTATATTTACTGTATGGGTCAGGTGTTTTTTGTCCATAACTTCGAGACTTGTTGGGGTGCTGGTGTATTTTGTCTGTACCATTTTCAGAAAGTTTTTCTTTGCAAAATGTCTTTTGTATGTGCCAGAAGCATTAAAAGTCTAATCTTATGTCTGCCCTTCCTCCAGTTCTGTTGTGATTTTGCTAATCGTGGGCGCATATGAATTCTTCTGCATATTTTTTATTATGGGATCAGTTCACGTGGGGATCTGTATCAAATGGCAATCCTTGTATATCAGTCTTTTTTCACACTTTCGCTGAGTTTGTGGTTTCTCTTTTTGAAAGTCAGATATGCATATTCGGTATTTCGTGTGTTTTATGGCTGGTTATGATCAGTAGTGCTTTGACATACAAGTTATCGAAAATATTCTGCATTCTTGATTGTCTAATATCTTAATTTCTCGTTTGGTGACATGTTAAATTAGCTTGATAGTGTCTCTGTAGGATCCTTGTTGGCGCTGTTAATAAAAGTCATTAGGATTACTTTTGTGAGTATTCTGTTGGTTATGTAGCAAGACCTAGGTTAGAACTTGTTTTTGATACTGATTTTGTATATGGTCCCTGCACCTGAGAAACTTTCTTTTTGGGATGAATTTACTGGATATTATATTTATTTTTTGTTGATCACTTCCATTATATATATCTGTGCTGTTCCGAGTTAAATTAACAAAATTAATCCTGCAGGTTATCTCGAAAAATTTTGGTTTCCTGATAATCTTTCTAGAAAGCTTGTAGATTACACCTTTTATTTACTCCTCCAAAATCAATTACTGTTTTATATCTGGATGGGCGTGGGGATTGGGAGAGTTGATGTTGCTCTTAAAAAATATTGTTCATATACAACAGAACATTAGTCACTGCAAACTTCCTCCTTCTTACACGATCCTCACATTGAATTTGGATTGTCTGTGCGGCTGAACGTCTGGTTCATCGCCCCATTTTTTGTTTGAACAGGTTGCTTACTTGTTACAAACAGCTCTTTACCCATGAGTTTTGGAGCTTTGGATTGCTTTGATTCGACTGCAGTGCTTACTCTTAATATCGAGCGCGTACATATTTTTCTTATACTTAGTCTCATTCCTTTTGAAATATTGGTGGGTGTTCGATATCTTTAATTGGATTACTGACGATTTTGTGAGTGTTTGTTATCCATTTGAGACCATATGGACATATATAGTGTTGATAATCGATCTTGACTATCCTTGTTGGATATTTTTAGTGGTATTCTACCAGAACAAATAGGCTTTATCTTTTTGTTATTCATTATTGAATTTGGTGGAAAATTTTTTCAGTCTCGAACTGTTGAGTTTGTGAATATTAAGTTTCGCCTTTTCGACAAAAATTCTGGCTACATGATTTGTCTTGAGTATCGTGTTTGGATATTGATTTTGTGCTCTGTTGAACCAGTTTTTCTATTGTTTCCTTTTCTTTCGTTTTGTTGATTCCCGAATATTGTGATCTGGGGTTGAGTCTTATTTGCAAGTTTTTACTGCTCTCTGTGGTCTTTAATGTGCCAACCACCGATTGAGTGGTCTTTGTGGTGTGTGCCTATTTTGTGTTCGACATTTATCAGTCATTCCAACCACCTTGTTAATCTTCATCGTATGCGTCACACGTTTCCAAATAGAGTTTTATTTTTCAAGCCGATTAAGTGTTTAAAATTTCGGTACAAGCATTTCCTTGTTATTCAATTAACCAGTCTCTAGTTCGAAGTTTAAATGCACTCTAGCTTTTCTTGCTGATGGCGACAGGCTAATTGACTATCTGAGTTTATGCATTATTCTTTGATATTTTGAGTGAGCGTTTGGAGTCTGTTGCGCATATGATTTTGACTACTTTTTTGGAACTGTTTTGGTTTCATGTATGTAATGATTTTCGAGGGGTGAAAGAACAAAATGCTGCATGGATTTTGCAGTGAGATTGCAAAAGCAGAAAACTTTGCTCGGGAGTTGTTAGTCAGCGGATGCCTTGTTGTTTGATTGTACTTGAACGTGTTATGCATTTTTGTTTTCCATGTTGTCAACCATGTGTACATTTCGGTGGTGCTGTTATTACTCTAGTATTGGATATCTAAAGCCTTGGCATATGGGTTCAATCTGGACTGCTGACAATCATTTTTATCGTATTTGTGGTCCTTTGACATAGGAATGTTTATATTGCAGCAGTCCCACCTGTTTTAAAGATCCTCAACAAACCCACATCATTGTTTGTAAGTTGATTGGTAAATCACTTATCGGGTTTATGAGAGCAAGTCCACCACGGCTTGGGTATCTCAAGCTTTATAAGATGCTTTTGTTTTACTGTGCTATGTGTTTTTTTGTGTCGGTTTTATCGTGCATGTGATCATTCCCTCTTTATGTTATATTAAAGATGGTGTGATATATTGTTATTTTTTGGTCTATGTAAGATGTGAGCATTTTAATTATTTGGATAATTGATAATGGGTGGTCTTGTTTGCAGGAGTTTTGGAAGCACTTTTGGTTAGGCGTTTTCTTGCTGAATGATCTTCGGCATACTCATGTCTAGTATTTGATCTTGGTTAGGATGTGCTCTGGACATTAGAATAATGGTTAGGGATTTCGTTAACTCTTAGTCGAATTGAATTATATTGAAAATGCTTTGAGCAAGTTCAAAAGTTTATGTGGATGGTTGCGAATGGAGTAGTTTCTATTCTCCAATGGTGCTTCGTGATATACGGTCGCAATTAAATCTAAACAATTGGAGACTTGTGTTACCTGTTTGGATAGCTTCGTGTTTCGTATGCGTGATAAGTGTAATTGGATGTGGATTGCAATATTTAAATCTTGCACTCGGTCTCTGACATATTCTTTCTTACGTGGATATGATCTATCTCACGAAGTTTATTGCAACATCCAAATGCATGACCATTTGTGCTGGCTCGTTAAAGGACTGAGCGTCCTGGTGGTATATGCTGAAATCCACAATTTATGGTATGGATTTCTAATATCTGAAGCAAGCTCTTGATTTTGTGGGTGCATACTCGTGTGCTGATTGTGCAAGCGATTCTCGGATGCATTTTGTGTGTGTAGTATCGAACATTTCAACAACCGGATTTATTCTTTTTATTATTCTTTGGTATGCGTTCCATATTAGTTGTGAAGCTCTATAAAAAGCAAAGGATCAGTGCTCTCGGTCAGCACAGAAGCTGTGAATATCGTTGTCTTTGCAAGTGAAACAGCATCTTGATGGGTAAAATGGTGGGTTACTTAGTCCTTTGGCATATAGAGAAATACTTTCTGGATCAAGTAAGTAGTGACACTCCTGTTTTTTTCCGTGTTTTATTTATTCTTGTGTTCTTGATTAATTGATCTTCTATATGTATACATTGTATGAATTCCCGTGTTTTATAACCAAAATAGAATATTGGAGATGTTGATATTCATTTTTGGGTTGTCCTGGTAAAATGTCCATGAAGAGTGAGATAGTTGGGTCACACACATTTCTCCAAGATCTAGTTAGCTGATTGGTCGTGATGCTTATAACTGAAACATCTGTCTAATGGATAAGTTTTCAACAAAACTTGGCCATGATCGGAATGCCACAAGTATTTTTCTTTGCATAATCTTGTCGGTTGAGAGTATTGGATGTATAAAGAGTTAACAGATATTGATTAGTTGTTTAGGTTGTTATGGATATAATGAATTCTGTTGTGAACTTATTGTTAACCTTGTTTCCTATATTTATGTGTAATTATGGGATCTCTCTTGTTTTTGAAAAACATATGGATAGATAATTTCTGTTGTAACTTATTTTGTAACCATATACTATTTAGTATAGGACTCTTCTTGTATTTAAACAGCATACTAATGACAATACGATCATCTCTTCTTTTCTATAGTCTTCTGTATATGACTAATTTATTACACTTGTAAATATTGACTTTTAGATGTTTTATTATTTTTATTACTGGTGAAATGTATATAGTCGCTGATCGAGCAAAAAAAATTGTTAAGAGCAAAAAATTTTAACTTTTCAAATATTTAATTATAAGTGTTTAATTAATTCTAAATTTACAAATTGAAATATTTAATAAAGTGGATTTTTTAATTAAAATACTTAATAGATGTAATTTTATAAATATAAATGTTCAATAATAAAATAAAATGTACAGCTGTGAATCTATACATTTAGCTAATTTAACTTGTGTTTTCTTATCTCAAATAATATTTTCACCGTTAATCAATTCATTCACGTGATTATTTACTTTCTTTCCCGCCTGAAAACGTGAGGATAAAAGAAGAAAAAGGAAAGAGTATTTTTTAGTGTTTTTTCGTCCTTTATTTTAACCTGTCGGCTCGGTTATTAGCTGCCAATTTCCACCGAGTCGAACGAAACCCTCCCGATACGAATACCGGCCACCTTGAACACAATAATTTCGTCCATTTTTTTCCGGATATGATTTCAGTCCAGTTCCAATGGGGGAGTGAATCCAATTATTAGGTTGAGCAAAGTTCGCATTTTGATGCAAATCAACAATTGTACAATTTTCTCTGCCAAAAATCTTTCTTTATTTTTAACTTTTTATGTGTTGTTAAGGAAAGGGAAGTGATGATGATGACAACACTAGTGTACTCTTCCTACAAACGCCGCAAAATGCAAACTGCTCTGCTACCAATTTCTCTTTTCTTTTTCTCATCTACGCCATAGCGTCACACGCCTACCACTTTAATTAATCTTCAGTTTGCTTCCGTCATTGATCATCCCTCTCAAATTTATAAGCTTAGTTTCTGGTAACCGTATGCCGTTATCTCACACGTCAGCAAAGTTGTTCCCTTCTCATTTCTTGTTGTTGACTGCGAACTCCATTACCGCCATTATTCATGAAAATGAAAAATTAAACTGGTGTTACTTTCTAAATTATGTGAACGTACGCAATTTTAAAAATCCAAACATGGTGGACCAAGCGCAACGAAAAGGGAAAAAGGTATACTCAATCAATCAATGAATACCTTCGACGAAGAGGAAATCATCTTGTTTTCTTTTATTTTTGTTATCCCTATCTTAAACGGAGGAGGTAGATGACATGGAAAGATCGGTGGGACGGACCCCACGTGGAGATGGGTCCATGCGTATTTACGTTCGAGCCCACGTGATGGCCTCTGCTCTGAATCATATTTCTATTTCCTTGCCTCCTCTTCGGCCCTCATTAAAAGCCTCCGCTGCCAAGTCTCTGTGTGCGCTTCCTTTTTGTGCAAGCAGAAGCAGAGCAGGTGAATTATAGTTCTCTGCAACCACATATTTAAACAACAACTAACACAAAACCAACTTTCAATTTACTTAAATTATTATATTTTATTAAAAATTGAAGTTTTTTGTAGGTAAGAATACGAGTAGGTTTTTGATAGGTGGCTCTATGGTTTTGCATTGTTTGCGGTACACAGCTCAATGGTTAAAATTGGAAAGAAAAAAGACAATTTATTTTATTTTATTTTATTTTATAGTAGTATTTGATAATAGGTGGGCGCGGCTACGGAGGGTAACATATTTACGGCTGTTGGTGTCAGAGAGAGGTGTAGCCCCGTAGCACAAAGAAAAGAGGAAGTTGGGTCACTGTATGTAACAGTGACTAAAGTGAGGTGGTGGTCCTCACGTGGCTTCACTAATTGGTCATTTGTCTTTTCTACGTAGCCAGCCTACCCCTGTCTGTTTATCAGTATGGTGACGGATTTTATTTATATGTATGCATCTACTATCATTTAGGGAGTAATTAATATAATACATGAGTTTAGGGAATAATAACTAATCTAATACTATATAATTCCCTTCCCTATAAATAAATAATTAATAAAACATGTAAACAATTATAGATTATGCGATACTGTAATATTGCATATCGTCTCAAATTGCATGATATGTCACCGGTCCAATAGCTACTCATATCATATCATAGTAAACCGGAGCGTATGGTAGGCCATATTGTAGAATATAATACAATATAACAGTGGAATCCACTTTGATGTGGGATATTTTGAAACAAGTGCAAGGTACATTAATAGCGAGTTCAATTGTGTCGGTATTATTATTATTATTATTATTATTATTACTGTATAGTTCATTGACCATATGGTTGGTACTATTATTTTGAGTAAACTAAATAAACAAATAAACATGCCACCACAAAGAGAATACTACTGTACTAGGCTTTAATTTATTATTATTGAAATTGTTTCTGGCATAGGCCTAGAGTTTGACTTTGAGGATCAAAGACTTTTTAAGTTTTAGTATCTAAATTAAATGAGGACCTCATCTTTTGGGGCTTCTACTTTCTAATCGTTACTCTTATATGGGGTGGCAATTTGCCCAATTGGGTTAGCGATTATAAGATGCTACACTCTCATATACAGTTCCTTTTACTTACAATTTACATTAAAAAGAAAATGCTAATGGTAGAATGACTATTTCTGATTGATTAACTGACCTTATTTTAAGTATATGCTAATCTAGTTCAATGGTAATAGCATAATTGAAGAAGGCCCATCAAGTTTAAAATAGGACAGAGTCCTTTTTTTTTCTTTTTCTTGACGATAGAAGGAAACTTTTCCCTCTCTCTAAAATTGTTTCCCTTCGAAATGCGAACTACAGAAAATCTTTTTTCCCTGTCGTTTACACAGCAAAGGGACAGCAAAAACTTATTTTTCATCTTCAAGTACCGTCCTATAGTGTTGGACACATCAGAAAAGGGGTTTTGAAGTAGAATTTCTGTAGATGGTTTTGCAATTTCTTCGGTTGGTTTTAGTGTCAGCCTGCAGCTAATTAATTAATTGTCCTTCCTTGCAAATCTCATGGGTACCAACCATTGGAGGCCAATTGGCCAGGCATACAAGCTGCACTGGACGCCACTAATAAACAAAGAAATCGAAGAAGCCCTATAAAGCTTGCAGCTTGTGTTTCTGCAACTTTGAACTCCCAAAGTTAAATTCAAGTGGGCTGGCCCAGAAGCCCGTTATTATCATCATCTCGGCCTTTTTCTTCATATCTTGGATTACAACAATTGGGTTCAATACAATTCTGAATAAAAAGCCCTTGGCCTATGGATGTTAGTATTTAATTATTTTTTCTAGATCCTTCCGCCCCACAAGGCAATTAACCTGTCCTAATCCATATGAATCCTCTGCCTGATGGCACGCGTCACCGACCTTATATACATCAAAAACATGAACACGCGGCTTGTTCTTGTGGAAAAGAACAAAGTCATTAATTAATTTTTATTATTATTATTATTTTTTTTTTTTTTTGGGGTTGGAAGAACAAAGTCATTAATTAATTTTTATTATTATTTTTTTTTTTTTTTTGGGAGAAGGATAGACTGAGGGATACGCTAATTGTAAATCCCTTTATATTATTTTTCTATTAATTGTTAATGAGACGGTGATTAAGGACAGATTTATAGATTGCAGAAGCAGCATGCACCAACTTTGTTACTCCCCATCTGGACGGTGCCAAATCTACTTCGACACGTTTAAGGCAGAATCCGATACTGGCTCCTCTCTTGCCACGTGTCCTTAACCCTCCGATATAAGTATCTCTCCGTGTTCAACTCTCAATTTCTGTCCGCTAGTCCTTTAATTTCTCCGCACTGTTTTTTTGTCATCTCAGCTGTTGACTGGTTTTGTCCGTTTTAGTCAGTTAGAAGCTAGAATCCACAAACGAAGCAAGAAGAAAGCTAATATGGGTCGTTTATGGACATTGCTCACTCACGCTCATACACTCTCTGGGTATAACTAATACTTGGTTTTTCATCCTTTTTTTTAAAATTTTTTTTATTGTATTAGCTAATTTAGTTTTCGTTTAATCATTTGCAGGCCAGTCTTGATGTTGCTATACCCATTGTAAGAAGCTCATTAACCATCTCCATGCATTAATGAAATCATTTGAACTTGTTATTTTGTGTATATATGCACTAAAATGGCACCAAATACTGAATTGATTTGTTTGCTATTTTGTTGTTAACTCAATTAGATATGCTTCAGTGATGGCCATAGAGAGCCCCTCCAAACTGGATGATCAGCAGTGGCTTGCTTATTGGATTCTCTACTCGTTTTTAACTCTCACAGAAATGATTCTCCAATCCATCTTAGAATGGTAACTAATATTAAGGAAGTACTTAAAACTTCTTAGTATTTTCATATTCGATGAAATTAAGCTGGGTTGAATCGATTTTTGTAGGATTCCAATCTGGTATACAGTGAAGCTAGCGTTCGTGGCTTGGCTTGTCTTGCCACAATTTAGAGGGGCAGCTTTTATTTATGAAAGATATGTGAGGGAAAATATAAAGAAATATACAGGCGTTAGAGATCACCATCATCATAGCTCCCCTAATGGTGGCAGTGGGAATGGCAAGAACAAGAGCAAGAGCAAGTTTGTTCAATTCATAACTCCAAAGAAAGTGAGTCATCGAAATCCTACACGGATTAAGTTTAAACATTTTTTTCTTTTGCTTAATTGGTTCATGCTTTAAGGAAGAGCCACGCCTTTTGAGGCTTCTTAATCTTATACTTACTGCTATGTTAAAAGAATAAACAAATACTACTGTCATAATATTGTTTATATATTAATTTCTTTGTTTTGATAATAATAATAATAATAATAATAATTAATGTGCATTTACAGGGAGAGCACGAGGCTTATTAATGGAGATTTAATCAGAAGAAGAGAGGACCAAATTAAGAAATATGTGAATATGTTTATAAATATGTGTTTCTTCTTTTTCGAGTTGTTTCATACTTAGCTTTTCTTCTTTGGTGGTTGTGAATCTTTACAAGACTGAATTTGTGACGTTTCAGCAACTAATCTAAATCTAATTTATTGTAATTGTTGAAATCTTTCATTTTACGGTAACACGTACCCAACTTGTGGGCCACATGGCGGCAGTGATGGTCATAAAATGTCCAGAAAATAGGGCCCCACCCCACCCTTATTCCGCCTGTAACTATCTTACTACTACCGAAGGTCTTGATTAGAAAGGGAAAGGATGGGAGAATTTCGTTCATTGAGCAGCTTGTTGAATTATTTTCTTTACCGATTAGATAAACTACTATTTAGTCCCTCTAATTTAATAAAATTAGCTGCTTAGTTCATGTCCTTTTGAAAATACATTAATCTTTTTTCCCATTACTAGAAGAAATAGATTGGTAAACTGATGCAAAATAAGAGATTAATGATGTAATTTTTAAAATATAAAATAATTAATTTTATCGAGCCAAGGGACTGATAGTAATTTTCCCTCCCTGATATTGTAGTTAGTTTTTATGAATGGGACTCGTTTATGAACACACAATTGTTAATTTGTTATTGGTCTATGGGGATTTCCCATTGGGCCTAACCGGCCCAGGCGGAGTTATAGTTAGAGTTGGGCTCACAGCTTGGAATATATTCTACGTCATTTTGATTTTTTTTGTTTTTTGTTAATCCTGATTCCTAGCATATTTTTTCAATGAGCGGTACCGGCACCGGCCTCTGCCGACCAGTTATTTCTTCTTTTTAAAATGTTAACGTCGTCTTGATAAATAATCTTGTGTCTCCTCGTTTGGAATGAACGACGAGTCGTCAGTGGCTAAGGGAATAAAACATTAACTGGTAAATGATATGTCGGTTACTGAAAAAGATAACCGTGAGATCAGATGGGGCTAGGTGGAAACGCGATGCGGTCAAACCAACTACATGGATAAGCCATTTTAGGAGGGTCAAAAGCAAAAGGAGACTAATAGGATTTGTTTCAAATTAGGTTTTCATCCTCACTTTTAGAAATTCACTACTACTCCCTCTTTGATTAAAGAAATACTAGTTATTTTATTCACCTTTTTGTATTTTCCATTAAATGTTATTCAAAAAAGAAAAAAAAAATTCTATTTATCCTGTGAAAAAAAGATATTTTTTCTTTTTTTTTTTCTCATAAGACATTATGATATCTTTTAACTGTAGCATTATTAAAGAATTAATATTTAAACTTATCTCCAACTTAATTAGAAATATTTCATTCTCAAAAAAAGAAAAAAAGAAAACCTAATTAGAAATATTTTATAATTGACATTAGAACTAGTTGTTTATATATCTAACATATATATTTTTTTCCAATTGTAACATTTTTGCATAAGAATTATCATTCAAAATACTATAAATCGATAAAAAAAAATGCATTAAAATTCTATTTTCGTTAAACCCTGGATTATGAATGACCTAAATCAAAACTATCACCCTAATTAGATAAGTTAATTTTAGGGTTACGAATGGGCCAAATGTAACCTTCTTCATCCATATTTTGAATGGCATGAAAAACTGTCGTCAATAATGCAAGATTACACAGTCACATGTTCATAAAGAAAGTCCTAACAACGAATTTGATAAGAGAATTAAACAAAAGCATTATTAAATTATTGAGGGCTGCAAGCTGATAAGAGAATTCGGATTTCCTCTATTGGCTAGTAGCGTGCAAAAACCATAAAATGAGCATCTTTTAGCTTTATAGCAGAATGATAATAGATAATTAAAATAAATATAAATAATGTAATTGTACTCCAGCGTACATGCATGCATACGGCCATGTACACGAGAAATACAACTTTGCTTATCCATAACCATTAGCCAATTGCAGTATTTTTCAGAGCCCAAGAAAGTTCCATCTCCAGTTGTTCCGGCCTTTATACTTGTGCATGTTCTTAAGCAACTTTATAAATAATGTAATTGAATCATTTAGGTGTTAACAATTGTTAGATCAGTAGCTTCAAATAAAATAATAATAATGTGAATCATACTTTGCCAAATCTTTCCTTTCCATGAAGTTTCGGAACCTAACTAATATTGCACAACAGTTTTTCTTTTCTTTTTCAACAAAAAAAGTCACTTTCAGCCCACTACTTATAACAGTAATAAACTAATAATTGATATAGCTTAAGAATTCGGAGGAAGCTTCCTTCCTCAACTAGGTGTGTCTGGTCTTCTTACAGTGAGAAGTCTCGAGTTTGAGTCTTCTTAACTATATAAGTTTTCAGTCAACTGGGAAAAGCTTTCTTCAATACAATTTAAAGTTTAATGTTCAAAACTGGTAAAAAGAAGCAATTAGTGATGCCATGACTAGAGGCCATTCCTCCTTTTCTTGTATCCTTCTTTAACTGAAATCATATAAATTTAAACTCATACTTCGAGTAGATTCAGAAGATATTATCTAATATCTACCCTTTACCAAAAGAGGTTCTTTCTTTAAAATCTGCAATACAAAATCAACAGGAAGGGGCAACTGCATTGTGGATACCTTTGAGACACAAATAAAGGTAATCATTTAAGTACTTACTTTTGACATTCAAATGTCATTTACCTAATACTGACGCTAATTTCCTCACCGAAAGTTATTGCCAAATAGTTCCTCAATCCCCACAAATCTAAAGGGCATTCCTCAATCCTTTGTACTCAAATCCAATAAAGCTTATTCGAATTAAACAAATTATCCAAGACTACATATCTTTTTCAAAAGAATAAGCAATGCAGAGACATTGATAGACATGAGCACAAGTAAACAGGTTCATACTTGACAGTTCTAATCCCCAATAGCTCAATTTTAATCCCAATACAAGCAAAAATTAAAATTAACATCAAGCACAAGGAAATATAAAATTTTAATTTTCGATTGAAGCATTTGATTCATTTTGGGGCTTCAAGACAACTTGTGGTGTAAGACCTTTATCTACTTTCAACATATATATTTAATCGAAATTTACAGTCTCCATAATATCTGGGTATTGTAAATTTAGAGGTTTGTTTAAAGTCTGGTCCAATCCTGTGCCATTCTATATTGCAAAACTCATCACAAATTACTAATAAGATTAACTTCATCAGAACCAGTAACTTATTTCATCCGGAAATCAAAATTGGAGTAAATTAATAACCTTCCCAGGAAGGAAAAATAAAAAAAAAACACTCAATGTTAATGCTAGGTTTCGAATCTCATCAATGTTAAATATATATACACAGACAGACCCTTTCCCAATACATAAAAAAGAAAAAAAAAATTCAATCAAAACCAAGTTATTATTTTATAACCAAGCCTGGTTTTTCTCTCATGTTGCACTCTATATTGAAACAAGCTCCTAATAATGCCAGTGACTTTAAAAATGCCCCACTACTCCTGCCAATTGTCATATGCTCCCTTTTATGTCCACTCAACAATGTGCACAATAACGAAAGAAAAGCTAAACAACTGCCTTAAGGAAACGCAATGCCCACTTCTCTTCCATTGAGCACCCCAAAGAGGAAAAAGAAGACACTAATACCTTTTTCTTTTAAGTGGAACTCTCTTTTATTGTGCCTAAATGAGGAATGCATCTGCTGTACTCTAGACCATTAAACCTTGCTGTGCTTTACCACATGATAGAGGAAAATTACGCACTAACGTAATCAGTAAAGTAAAAATGAGAACCCAACATGAGCCACATCAGATATGCCTTATCTCCCATGCACTGTGTCAGTCATATGATACATTGTGCTTCCTTGATCTTAAGCAACTGCACTTAATTAGCTGCTTTGGTTTATGCAAAATCTAGTTTTTAATTGAATATCACAACTTTAATAGCCCTCAGTACCATCCAAGCAAAAGCTTGTCAGTTGGTAATTAAGAAATAAAATCCAATAAATGAGATATTTTCACTGTTTTGTTATTAGAATAGAAAGAAGGGTATCTACCTTAGTTACCATCGATGATTATTGTAACATTTGTTAATTTCAAACGATTTAAGATCACCAATAAAGTGGAAGGCAGGCAGCCAAAAGTAAAAGCAACCAATAAACACTAATATCTCTTAGCTTTTCATAAAGTCCTCTCCCTATACAAAAACAAAAGTAAAGCAGTACGTGATAAATATTACCAAATTAACCACTTCCCCCCATATATAACTCGGTGTTTACGATGCCTTCTGTTCAGTCAGATGGCAATTCTCTAGTATTTTTCTTTGAATCTTGCGCTGAACTCTCCCCCTACAAGAATTACCTCTAAACCAATTTGCAAAGCTTAGAGTGAAATTAAAAACCCACCCTCAAACTTCGACTAACACCACTAGGAAACATACAAATGGATCTTATCCAACTCCAAAAGTTTCATGCAATTAAAAGGTCCAAGAAGCATCAACTTCTTGACAAATTTTTCCTGTATATGACAGTGTTAACTTGTAGTCTTTTCTGTTCGAGCCCTTTCTGGTTCCCCTCCCTATTCTCTTCCATCAAATTACTTCTCTTTGGCTCTCTTCCAAAAATCAGTTCTGTTCTCCTCAGTGCCAAGTTTATTTTCATATTTGGCAACATCATCATCATTCTCCTCATTGGGGAATCTAAGTTCTTTGCTTCAAAAACTCTTCCAGCACCTAGTGATGTGTACTACAACGAGTATGTTAATCGAAAAAGAGGCCTCCAAACTTCTTCCACCCCTCAAGAGAAGAAAGAGAAAGAAAAGGAGATAGTGTTCAAAGAAAACGCTAGCAAGACTTGTGGAGGAGGAAAAATGGAAGTGAGAGTATGGGGGGAAGAGAAATTAGAACTGGTGAATGCAAGAGAGAATTTGGATGGAGAAGATGATTTCAATTTGCCTACTGAGGAGTTGAACAAAAGAGCTGATGATTTTATTGCAAGGGTTAATAGGCAAAGAAGGTTGGAAGCCAGACTACTACTTGGTTAGGCTACATAAAAGATGTTGATGGCATAAACGCTGGAAAGCAAAAGAGAGTCTACATATATGTGAAAGAATAACAAGCACATAAAAATTGGTGGTTGGATTATTAAATTTAACACTCTAGAACTATTTTCTTGTTTGCCTTTGAGTGAGCAATGAAGTAATAGAAGGATCGAGATAGAAACGTAGATAGAAGATTAGGTTATCGCCATTTATGTACTTATCCTAGTATAAACTATTAGCCCATTGAAAACGTGAAGCGTGTATGGTTTCAGCGTTTCAGATGACATAGATAAAATATGTGCCCTCATCTACTCCTCTCAGTATCCTTGAATAACCTCCTCCTGATTTTGTAGAGAATCCTAATAGTTCATTCGCTTTTGAACTTTAAAAACGTGTATATTATTCCAATTTCTCCTGATACTGCCCTCATTGGAGCAATAGAACAAACATCATGAGTGCATCGAGTTAGGAAAACAAAGGAATCATGAATTGCAACTCCTATCCTATGTTAATCCAATCCAATGATTAATAGTGATTAAATATTATCATTCAAGAAAAAAACTAACCTCGAAAAAGACACAGTATCGTTGGCAGAATGACCTAAACAGAGTAAAATCTGTCAGTAGCACAGACCGTCGGCTAATCCAGTGAGCTTTGACTTGCTAGCATTAGAACGTCTCTGTTAATTTATCGGATCCTATTTTTGGGGATAAAAACATACTAAAATCGTTTCTTTATTCTGCATTCCAGAATACTAATCTGAATTTCGAGAAGCGGCAAAAGACAGGATCAATGACGAAGTCGTGGATAAATTGCCTGAACTACGTGTCATGTCAAAGCCATGCAGTGATGCCACGCCACCTGCTTGCTTCGTAGTTCTCATCTCATGGAAAGCATCGGATGGTCGCCTATAAACCCAAACTTACACTTCAACTTTGACCTTCCTAATTTGACGCTTCAAGTCACTTTCCGGTCATGGATCTAATTCACAAGTTTCTTAACTTAGTAGCCCCTCCGTTTACCTTCTTCTCCCTATGCTTTTTCTTGCCACCTTATCTTCTTTTCAAGTCCTTCCTCTATGTATTCTACTCCATTTTCAGTGAGGACGTTTCCGGCAAGGTCATCCTTATAACTGGCGCATCTTCAGGAATAGGAGAGGTAACAAACCTTAGTACTATATGTTGTAACTTATTGACCGCCAAAAGAAATGACGAAACGGAAATTTCTATTCTGTTTATTCTAGCACTTGGCTTACGAGTACGCGAAGAGAGGAGCCCGCTTAGCCCTTGTAGCCCGCAGAGAGAATCGACTGAGAGAAGTTGTTTATAGAGCGGAGGAGTTGGGCTCTCCTGATGTTCTCATGATTCTTGCTGATGTGCAGAAAGTCGATGATTGTAGCCGAATCGTTGATGAAACTGTTAGTCATTTTGGAGGTGTAAGTACCCATGCACTTTTAGATCAGATGCTTGTACGTTAATGTCATTTTGCTATTTTTATTCAGATAATTAATGGACCTAATGCTTGTGTTTTAGTGGATCATCTTGTCAATAATGCCGGAATCGGCGCCGTCTCCATGTTTGAAGAAATTACAGATATCACCAATTTTAGGATGATAATGGTAATTAATAATTCTTCATAAGCTTCAACTTATATATTTATGCTTGTTTCAAATTTGGAAATAATAAGGCAACAAAACCCTATTCAGGACACAAACTTCTGGGGTTCAGCTTTTATGACACGTTTTGCCGTTCCGTACTTAAGGGACAGCAGAGGAAAGATTATAGTCCTCTCTTCCTCTGGTTCATGGCTGCCACTGCCAAGAATGAGCATCTACAATGTAAATATTATGTGTATATATATAAATTTTTGTTAATTGTATTCATGAGGCTTAATTTGCAAATAACACTTCAATTGGAATCAACATTCAGGCAAGCAAAGCAGCATTGGTGACCTTCTTCGAGACATTAAGGGTTGAATTAGGATCTGATGTTAGTGTACTAATAGTGACGCCTGGTCATACAGAGTCTGAATTGACCCAAGGCAAGTTTATGTTAGCTGAAGGCAAAGTGGATGTGGATCAAGACTTGAGGGATGTAAGCTGGCTCCTTTCTGCTCTCTTTTGTTACATTTGCATCTGTTAATTATTCAGCCAATATCTATGGAAGATATTAATTGCTTTGAATTTTTACGGATCGATTTAGGTTCAAGTGGGTCCGATCCCAGTCGAAACAGTTAGCGGATGCGCCAAAGGAATAGTAAACAGCGCTTGCAGGGGAGATAAGTATCTGACAGAGCCAGCATGGCTCAGGGTAACGTGGCTATGGAAGGTATTTTGCCCTGATATGCTTGAATGGAATTATCGTTTTCTGTTTCTTAACAGACCAGAAGAACCAGCCACGGAAGCTCCTACCAAGAAAATTCTTGATATGACTGGAGCTAAGAAAATCCTCTACCCTGAGACTATTCAAACGACTGAGCCCAAGATCGAGTGAGATAAAGAGTATGCCTGAAACTGCTCTTCAAAGTGAATGCCTGTGTTTTGAAATTCAAATTCGAATCGATACTTCCTTTTTTTTCTTTTGGGTATCAGAAACTCTGTAGTGTGCAGTGACTTTTGAAGTTGTGATTGTAGGAGGAGTGCTTTCTTTTTTTACATTTGAAATTTTAAGAAATTCTCTCTTGTCGTTTACGCTATATTGCAAAACACTGCAAGTGAAATGACAGGTTGTTGGTGTCGTTTGGATTATTCATTCGGCAAACACAAGCGAACTTTTGCTTTGTTAGTGCATTAATGAAATGATCCGACAAGTCGTTCCTACATGCCAAAAAGAAAACTTGAGCCTGGCCCATAAGATGGCTGCACATTGCTAACCTGCACACCAATTAAAAGACAAACGGGCATAAATTATATCTACAGCCGGCGCTGCTCGGGTTTGATTATTTGATCAATAAGCCCAATCACCTGTGGGCGTGCGATGAGAAAATTAAAGTCATGAAGCTTAGCCTCTTTTTCGTTTTTCTTTTCCTCCCGCTATATAAATTTCTCTCTCCTTTTTTTTTTTTTTTTTTTTTTTTTTTTCGTTTTTCTTGTTCCTCCCGCTATATAAATGTTCTCTCTCCTTTTTTTTTTTTTTTTTTTTTTTTTTTTGCCCTTTAGATGAAAGGTTAGAAAAAGTAGCTATTTGAATAAAAAAACTGAGAATAACTAGGTATTGATTTATTATTATTTTGAATTATTAAATCCTCGGAGGTCCAAGTGCATTACAAGTACTCCCTCTTGTCTCAAAATATAAGTCATTTTTTTTGATTATTTTATGCCCATAACATAGATCCCCTCTTGTCTCTTAAAATATAAGTTTTTTTTTGATTTATTTTTATCCCATAACATAGATTCGTTTTGGGAGTATTTAAAGAAAATCGTTTTGAGTATTTTAGAAGAGTAAATAAAATGAGAGTTTTTTGTCCAATTTATCCTTCAAAACAATAAATAATATGCACATAAGTAGAGTTTTGATTATTTTATCCCATAACATAGATCCCTCTTGTCTCTAAAATATAAGTTTTTTTTTGATTATTTTATCCCATAACATAGATCGTTTTGAGTATTTTAAAGAAAATCGTTTTGAGTATTTTAAAGAGTAATAAATGAGAGTTTTTTCAATATTATCCTCAAAACAATAAATATATGCATAAGTAATTATTGGTTTAGAGATAAATAATAATTTAATCAATTTAAGTTTAGAGATAAATAATAATTTAGTCAATTTAGTTTTAGTTTTTTTATAGTTTAAGAAAATTGATTGTTTTTTTAATATTAAGATAAAAAATTTAAACTATTTATATTTTGAAACAAGAATTGTCCATTATCATAAAACACAAGTGTATAAAATAGAAATTGAAAGTGGGTAGTTGGTAGTAATTAAAGCGATTGGAAGTTGGAAGTTGGAAGCAATTAAAGCGTTCAGATCACATTTTGGTCATATCCCGAATAAATTTAAGGATATAATCCAAAAAATTCTACCCTACAGTCTGAATGGTTTGTGGATCCCACATCACATCATAATTAGCGGATTTAGTCAGAAACTCTACGATCGATATCGTCACTCACCAGGACTAGTCTTTTATCAATATGATCACTACTATAAAGTACTGCTTTTGGGCAACCCTCTCAACAACTGACACAACCATTTAAGAAACACTGGACTAATTGAAATAAAGAGCCTTCTTTTTCGTTCGAACTTTAGGTGGTTCTCTCAAAAAAGATAGCGAAAACAAAAATGATGCAAAAAAAACAAACGATTTCTTTTATTTCTTTTCTACAAGGATCTCCATATTCTTTGTATATGTTTTTTTTTTTTGCTTTTTTAATACTAAATATTTTATAATATTGACCATTTAATTTTTCATATTTATTATTAAGTTATTATTTCCATATTTAAGGGTAAAAGTTATATTCTTTGAATAAAAAAAAATAGAGAAAATGATATAAAAAAAAAAGAATAAACAAAGAGAGTAGGGGTAATAGACAGGTGGGTGACGTCATTCAATTTTTTGATGGACGTGTTAACAAAACTCTAGACTACAGATATGAAATTTTATTTTTCTTCTTTTTTTGAGAGGCCAAATATGGAATTTTGGCAAATATAAATATATCAGCGCTAAATAGATAGACCAGTGACCTGTCTTCTCCACCTGGCCTTTGTTGCATTTTGGCAATTTGCTAACCGATATCCATACGGTTTACAAACTGAACACGTGCAATATCAGATCATTGTGCTTCTAATAAAGCAAATTAAGGGCATGGATTTGATTCACAAGTTCTTTAACATTGTGCTTCCTCCTTTAAACATCATTCTACTTGTATGTTTTTTGCCACTATATCTTGTGTTCAGGTTTGCTTATTGTCTAAAAAGACATATATTCATCGAAAATGTGGCCGGAAAAGTTGTGCTGGTCACCGGAGCAGCCTCAGGAATCGGCGAGGTAAGTGAAAAGATCATCAGTGATATGAATTTAGAAATTATGATTAATTATTTGATAATGGATGTGTTTTGGCAAATTTAAAGCAAATTGCTTATGAGTACGCAAAGCGAGGAGCATGTTTAGTGCTGGTTGACATAAGAGAGGATCGTCTTGGACCAGTTGCAGAGAAGGCAAAATTTCTTGGCTCCCCAGATGTTTTAGCTGTTGGCGCTGATGTTTCTAAGCTGCAAGATTCTCAAAGGTTTATTGAGGCTGCTGTGGACCATTTTGGCAAACGTACGTTGTTTATTTATTGGGTTACAAGTATGGAAAATTATTTATTATTTCAAAGTCTGTTACATATGCTGATTTTGTTCTGTTAATGTGATGGAGAAGTGGATCATCTGGTGAACAACGCTGGAACTGTAGGGCTTTTCCAAATCGGAGGTGAGAAAATATTCAATATTTTGATAGATCTATATGTTGTTCTGCTTCCTTTATTTATTTATTTAGTTATTAATATTTTGTTTCTAAAACTCTATGCAAACTGACTTGATTATTAATTTGCAATTTTATATAGTTAGCAATCTTGAAATGATAACAACAAGCACACCACAAGTTCATGAAATTATGGTAAGGCTTTAGCATAATTTTCCTGTCTTTGATTTTTTTTTTTTTTTTTTTTTAATCTTTGAAATGATAACAACAAGCACACCACAAGATTCTATAGACAATTATGGTAAGGCTTTAGCATTAATTTCCTGTTCTTGATTTTTTTTTTTTTTTTATCAATAATTTAATATTTTGTAATTAGCGTGAAAACGTTAATTTTTTTTTTTTTTTTTTATCAAATTAATATTTTGATAGCGTGAAAACGTAACAATACAATATAAATTGCGTAATTTTATGTATAGGATGTGAACTTTTGGGGTACAGCGTATAGCACCCATTTTGCGCTCCAACATCTGATAAAAAGCAAAGGCAAAATAATAGTTATTGCTTCAGGTCTGGGATGGTATCCCTCTCCAGTATTGGGTTTCTACTGTGTAAGACTTTCACTTTTTATATATAATTATATATAGGATTATTTATTAATGTAATTGATATGAATTTGGCTCGATCCAGGCAAGCAAGGCAGCAGCAATTAGCTTGTATGAGTCTCTGAGATGTGAAATTGGTTCAGAAATTGGCATAACAATAGTAACCCCTGGCCTAATAGAATCAGAAATGTCTGGAGCCATGGAAAAGGTAATTTGCCTATAGGCTTCATTTGTAAATTCTATCAAACTCAAATTTGATAATTTAAACATTATTAATTTCATTAAAATTATACCGATGAATGATTCAACACTTTTCTCCTTTAAGTGAGTTCTATCGTTTAATCCTCATAAATGAAGTAAGTAACCGTTCGAACATTTTAGGCCTTAGTGAGCCGATTTGGTACGAGCCGAATTTAGATATAGCTCTACAAATTAGGGATACCTATATAATATAATATCAAATTGTCAAATTTATAAATTAAGTTATGCTTATGTTGAAAATTAGGGAGGAGTAGATTTGATCGTACCAAAAGAGTCAAAGGAGGCATGTGCGAAAGCAATAGTGAAGAGTGCATGCCGTGGAGACAAGTACTTGACAGAGCCATCGTGGATTAGGGTGTTGCTGCAGTGGAAGTTTTTTTATCCTGAGGTGGTAGAGTTTGGCAACCACTGGGCTATTTATAGAAGGTTTATGCATTTAAATAGGACTTCAACAGCTCTATCTCCATCTCCTCAGTTCAAGCTAGACTGAGGACAATGTTTTATCAAGTCCTGTTTATTATTCTTTTTTTTTTTCTTTTTCAAATGTCGATAAAATAAGTCCTATTTATTTTAATTAAATTAAATACAAGTTACATTATTCAATTGGATTTATTATTTATTTGGTATTAAATTCAGGGAGTAAATTGTATAAAAAAATTAAACTTTAGGCAAATTGTATATTATTGCCAAATTTGTTGAGAAAATCGCTATTTTTCCCGCCCTTCGGACTGGCTTCAAGCGCAAATTGTAAGGATTTTGGCCACATTTTGTTGAGAAAAATCGACTATTTTTCCCGCCCTTCGGGACTGGCTGCAAGCAGGAACAAACGGGAAACTTTCCAAGTTGGAGAAAAACTACGGCGTTGCCAAACGACAACCAAGAAAAAATGATTCACTATGCGGCAAATTGTTTACAACGCACAATTATAAAATAGTTTTCTACCCGACACCCTTCAAAAACACCCCAGAATATTTTATATTCCAAGTGGACTCTAAGACGACTGCATCCTAAATCCCTAATTTATAAAAACACATTCAATGATGGTGTTTGGTGTGTTGTAAAAATCTAAACATTAGCTTTCCTTTTTTATAATTAAAACCTAGCCATCCTCTTTGTCGTCTCACGCGGATATATGATTGAGCAAAACCTTCTTTTCTTTTTTTTTATTTGTTTTCTCAGTAAACCAAAGGCGGCTAACAAAATTTAGTAGACAGATTCAGGCCTTATTATTCTTTTTTATTTTTGACAAGCTAACGCGGTTGGGTTAAAAGCCAATCTCACTCTGAGCACCAGATTCGAAGTATAAAAATATATTTGTTTAAAAACGTTTAGATGCGTCTATTGTACGTGCGAATATCTACTTAAGCGCGCGACGGAGGAATCCTGTAACCTAATTTGAATTCAAAAGAATCTTGTTTTTCAGGACTTTTTATTATCCAACAGATTAGATGGTATAGTAATCGACTCTTAAATTTAATTCTATGTATTTATCCCTTTTTATTATTGTCTTTCTTGTCATTTTTCTGATAAATAGAAATTTGCTCTGGAAGATGACTATCACCATCTTATATTAGTCATTTTTCTAATTGCATGAACTTACTGGAGAGATATTGTCTCTTTGATTGTTTTTTCGTGTGGCTTGTGATTTTCTATCCGGAAGGCTAGAATGAATTCTGTGTATTGCATAATCTGCGAATTAGTATTGCTTTGTCTGCGCTATCGTTTATATAAGATAAGGATGCATGAATACTGTCGCTATTTAAGTTATAAGTTGAAAGCTCCTCGAAGAGTTTTCGTGTTAACTTAGATTTGCAGATATGGCCCATGGGTTTTAGTGTGTAAGGTTGATGATTGTTGTTGACTAGCGCTTACAGTGACTTTATCTATTCTTCCTCTTAAGCTTTTTGGTTTACTTAGGTGGTGTTATGCTGTGCAGTGAAAGTTGGTGTTTTTGATCCTGATTTTGGTTTTTGATTTAATTTTTTTGGTTTGTGTTAGTTAGTGAGATTGGATTTGCAACCTACGTCTGGGTGCTTTTATTATATTTGTTATGATAGGAATTGTTATGACATTTGTAAATGTACGTGTCAACCAGGTCGTTCTATCTTCCATCTTCCTCTTCATGTGTTCAGAGGCGGGTTATATCTTGAGGATCATATGTTTATCTATTATGACTCTGTGTTTAGTTATTCTTATTTGTTTGTTCTTGTTACTAAATGTCGTAATGTAAATATATAAGGTTTGCTGCATTGATTTATTAATTAAATTATGAATACATGGAGTTACATTATTGCGAGATTGGATTTGATGAATATTTACTTTGAGTATATAATTCTATGGTAGTTAATATTGGTATATACAAATTAATATGTAAGACTGGAGGCATTGAGATTTGATATTATTATATGCCATGGTTTATAGAGTGGTAGATTATATCGTATTCGGTTTATGTGTCCCAGGCCCTTTCGATCTGAGCTTTCGATTAGCTGTTTAGGATTACAATATACTTGTGTGTTAGATTTAGATGTTACTTTTTTCCATATGTTGGTTAGTGATTGGAGAATATACTCGGTTGCCGCTTTGGGGTTGGTGTCTTTGACTTCAAACGACAAACCAAGAAAAAATTATTTTTCATCGTATGTGCGGCATGTATATGACAACCATTGCACATTTATATAAATTATGATTTATCTATCGCGTGTTACTATCGCGTGTCTATGAATATCTATCGCCGCAAATAGTATTTGTGTGATATTGATCGGCTAATGGAACTCTAATGAGAGCTGGCTCTTTATTATAGTGGCGGATAGCACTTGGTGGGGCTAATATGAAAACACAAGATATTGCGAATGATTGTTTGTGTGTGTGTAAAAGACGGTTCTAAACATTTAGCTTCCTTTTATAATTAAACCTCCATCCTCTTTTTGCTCGTTCTCACGATATATGATTGAACAAAACCTTTCTTTTTTTTTCTTTTTTTTTTTTATTTGTTTCAACAAAAGGCGGCTTAACAAAATTTAGTAGACAGATTCAGCCTTATTATTTCTTTTTTTTTTTTGACAGCTAACGGTGGTAAAACCAATCTCACTCGAGCACCAGTTCGAAGAAAAATATAAATTTTTTTAAAACTTTAGATGCCGTCTATGTTACGTATGCGAATATCTACTAAGCCGCGACGGAGGAATTCCTGTAACCTAATTTGAATGTTCAAAAGAATCTGTTTTCAGGATTTTTTCCACAGAAATGGAAAATCCTTCTTTAATTAATTCTATATTATCCTTTTATTATTTTCTTTCTTTTCATTTTTTTGATAAAAAATTTGGCTCGAGAACATTCACCACTTAATTTCATTTTTCCAATGCATACGTTACTGAAGATTTTGTCTCTTTTGATTGTTTTTTCTGTGGCTGTGATTTCACAGCTAGAATGAATTCTGGAGATACAATTCTCGATTATATTTCTGTTTCTTCCTCTTTAAAAATAAGAGAATTGCAGAAACTGCGCATTAATTATAAGTTTAAAGCTCCTCAGAGTTTTTCTTTAACTTAGATTTGCAAAGCCATGGGGTTTTGATTGTTAAGTCTGATGGATGTTGTCTTACTACCCTTACAAGTACTTTTAGCACTTCCTT